GTTTCCCCCTCCAGCTGAAAACGAGTTCACCCACTTACAAGCTCCATAATAAAGAATCAGCATTCACGAACTTCCTCAGGGCATTTCTGTGACTAAAGTAGTTGCTGTAATGATCTGTTGTGTTGCACATATTAATTTGATGGAAACATACAAGCAGAATTACAGTGGGTTTTCCAGCTGCAGATTGCTTCACATTTTCATTGCTAGGGACCTACGGAAGCAGTCTATCATTTAGATGTATTGTGTAATTCTGTCACACAGGGCTATGTGTGATAATATAGTGAGTCAGAATATTGAGGGACAATGGGATCCTAGCTAAAGCAAAGCTATACACTGTCTTTTCCGCTGGAAGACATAAGGCAGTTAAAATAGACTGGCGGACAGCTCAACAATAGGAAAAATGAAAATATGGAATTTCTGCACCAATATTGAGACGCTGCCCCCGACATCTGTTGTGTACAAGTACAAGCTTATCGCCCATCCTTCACTCGACACTTAAAACAAAGCAGAAGCATCAGCTTTCCTCATTTGCTGCCAACATGCAAGATACCAGGATGGCCCTTTTGCACTGATGACCAGGTTTTCATTGGTCATTTTTGCCCCAGTGGCAGACACAAACCCTTGACCTTTTCAGCTTCAAGGACACTTGAGCGGATTGTCACAGGGTGGTCAGTCAGCTTCAGTAGAAACACCCTCACTATGTGAACGCACCGACCCTGTAGGGTAACAGAGGAGAGTATTGTGCCACAGCTTCATATTCTTCCAGACCATCTAACACGCTAACATCATCCTCAATGACTAGAAGAAGGGTGTTATTCTGCCTCTGGCCAAACATGGGGATACGGCCAATTGTAGCAGCTAGAAGTATTACACTGTTGTTGGTCCCAGGGAATGTCTTTCTTTCTGAGTTTGTCTCTCGAATCAGCGATGAACTGTGAGGCAAAGGCTGGGATACTCAGTGCAGTTTCAGACCTGGTCCCTCCACTTTCAGCCAGATCTTTACCTGGAGACAGCTTTTTGAGAAGATGGCTGAATTTAGTAAGCCATGCGCAGCACTTTTTATAGATTTCTGTCAGGTCTCAGTCAGTGCATCGAGCAAGTTTGTGGGATGTCATGAGGTGATACAGCATTCCTGGGAAGATACTGTCATTGACAGAGGAGCCCTAGAATGGAACAGAAAGCTGTGTTTGCATCAGTGGCAGATACACGGCATGGGTCCGTATTTCCCACAGAAGTTTGGCAAGGCTTCATCTTGTCACCATCATTGCTCAACATTGCCACTGACTGGCTGATGGATAAGGTTGATGAGGCACTCTCGGTGGTGTCGAGCTGAACGTCAGTTTGTTTTGAGACAGCGAATTACACTAATGACATCTGCCTGGCTCAGTTTGGTGAATCGCTGCAGCTAAGAGCCACTCTCTTCTGGCAAGAAGCAACACACATTGCGCTGGTTATTAATCCAGAAAAAACTAAGTCCCTGCCCATTATCAACAAGCAGCCTCCATTACAGCCAGCTCAGCATTAACACGTCAGGATTGATATCAAGCAAGCAGCAACTTTCAAATACTTGGGAAGCATCACAGACAGTGCTGGAGGATGTTGGAAAAATGCTAATACTCCTATAGTAGCAGCAACTGCCACGTTCCAGCTCTTTCAGCGGCCTCTGTGGAGACATTGGGACATCTAGGTTACTACAAAGCTGCAGATCTATAAAACCACAATTATACCAACTCAGTTGCAGGTCAGTGAAATGTGGGGTTCCAGCCCAGGTCCCTATGGACTGCAGCTGTCTATAGTGCCTCCTGTAACAGCTGCATGACAGCTACAACTCCCTGGGCTACTTCCCCATGGCCTCCTCCAAACACCTTCCTTATTCTCACCACAGGACCTTCCTCCTGGTGTCTGATAACGCTTGTGCTCCTCAGTCCTCCAGCAGCACACCCTCTCACTCTCAGCTCCTTGCGCCTCTTGCTCCCAGCTCCTTACACTCGCACCACAAACTGAAGTGAGCTCCTTTTAAAACCCAGGTGCCCTGATTAGCCTGCCTTAATTGATTCTAGCAGCTTCTTCTTAATTGGCTCCAGGTGTCCTAATTAGCCTGCCTGCCTTAACTGGTTCTAGCAGGTTCCTGATTACTCTAGTGCAGCCCCTGCTCTGGTCACTCAGGGAACAGAAAACTACTCATCCAGTGACCAGTATATTTGCCCTCTACCAGACTCCTGTACCCCACTGGTCTGGGTCTGTCACAAGTTGTATGTGACAGAATTTGTTTTAACCTTTTTCCTTTTAAAAAATCCACCAGGAAATTATATTAAAAATAACCGTGTTTTTAATTAATATAATGCCTTAGCCCTATGCCATATCACACAATATAAGATGAATAAAGGATTTCAAGTCAATGCAGCTCTCTAAACTGAATACAAATTGTAAACATACAAAAATTAAACACACAAATCAGCCCTTCCACCACAGTTAAAAAATGGTTATTTAGGTTGCAAATTCAAATATAGACGCTCCCCGACTTACGTAAGCGTTCCGTTCCGGAACGCCTTGTGTAAGACGAATTTTGCATAAGTCGGGAACATATACCCGACAATTACGCCAAAAAAAAAAAAAAAAAACGTACGGAACTTTTTCCATAAGTCCGGATTTGCGCAAGTCGGGTTTGTGTAACCCAAGGAGCATCTGTAGTATAAAGTTTGGATATGCTGATTTTAAAGTTGCCCGTGTGCCTTTAATTTGACCCCCCTTGTGTGTATGCATTATGATACAGTTTTTAAATTACATGATCACATATTATATTTTCCATAGGACATGATATTCTATTCTATATAGGTTCTCAGGCTACCCACTTCAGTATAGTATCTGAGCACCTTCCAGCAGTGCATTAAGCAAGACGAGGAAGATCTATCACAGGGGTAGGCAACCTATGGCACGCGTACCGAAGGTGGCACGCGAGCTGATTTTCAGTGGCACTCACACTGCCCGGGTCCTGGCCACCTGTCCAGAGGTTCTGCATTTTAATTGAATTTTAAATGAAGCTTCTTAAACATTTTAAAAACCTTATTTACTTTACATACAACAATAGTTTAGTTCTATATTATAGACTTATAGAAAGAGATCTTCTAAAAACATTAAATTGTATTACTGGCACGCGAAACCTTAAATTAGAGTGAATAAATGAAGACTCGGCACACCACTTCTAAAAGGTTGCTGACCCCTGATCTATCATGTATTTTGTTTTGGAAGTTGTGTGTTTTTTTGTTTTGTTTTCAATAATATATACACACACTCACTTCTATATGTTTATGTTAGCGAAGGCAAGGTAAAAAAAATGCACCTTGCATTTGGTGATGAGATTTGTGATGGTCCTTAATTCCTGGGGGACTTGATTCCACAGTTTTGGACCAGCCCCCAAGAAAGTTCTGTCTCCTGCACAGGAGAGCTTTAGCCTTATTATAGAAAGTTCCATTGTGCCAGAGGAGCTAAGTTGTGAATCACAGACTTTATCCTGTCCCATTCACTCAACAGGTTGGATGCCCATGAGGGAGAATTCAGGTTGCCAAATGTATTTCCTAACTTTCTAATACTTGATTTTAAAACCTAAGTCCTAAATAACATTTTTTAATGTAGTTTTAATATTTCATATAATTTACATACACATACTGTAATCTAAGATTGAATATATATTGACAGTTTACCACAATATATACATAAAACAATATTATAATCTAATAAGCATCACAACAGAGTAGATTGGGCCATACTCAGCACATAACAGACCACTTGGTATAAATACCAAGACGAAGCAAACATCTGGCTAGGATTTCAATTTTTAATGTACAAATATTGAGGATAAGAGTATCATTTAGTCTATTAGCTTCTGGTGCAATAGCGACATTTTTCACTCTGTGGGTAAAATTCACCTGAGTGCAGAGAAGGCCATCGCAAGAACCTATGGATTAATCTATTCCCATGTTAAGGGTTTAATTGGGATTTCAGTTGCTCATGAGATATTGAATGAGTTTTCTGTACTGGGGTGAAATGCACTAATTCATAGTGATGGGCAGTGAGAGCAGACTTAACTGAAGAACAGTTAAGCCATAAAAGTACACTGAAAAAATGTACTAGCTGGCTTCTGGGTGACTGTTCAGATACTGATTCTAAGGGACATTCTAAGGGTATTTCTGGGCACTGCCAGTGCTTTGAAGAGTAAAGGGGAGCTTGACAAGAATTTGACAGGTGCAACAACAGAGATGGAGGCGCTTCAGAAAAATTTTCTTCTTTGTTATAATTGTACACAGACAGAGCCATATAAAGCCCTTCGCTTTCTGAAACACTCTGAAGGACAATAACATCACCATGTCAATGACAATCTTAGCGACAATAATAGTCCGCTTTTCTTAAAAGCTTCAAGCAACCAGCCAACCAGGTTTAAATTTCCAACAAAAGCTACCTTGACCATCACCCGGAAACTGTCTTCAAAATTCAAAGTGACTTAAAAAGGAAAGTGAAATGACGAGCAAAGTAAGATTTTAAGAAATGGAAAGAAATTGGGACTATTTTTAGATCTGCTTAATGGATATTACTTAGAATTTGTTGCTTGGCTGCTGCCACTTTTCGATATGAATAAATTAATGTGTTCTGAAGAGCATAATCTCATTTATAGACAAAGGCTAATAGAAAAAGGCTAATGGTGGTCTCTCTAGCCATGGTGAAATGTATTGAGAGACATCTCTAAAAACATATTGCACTGAAAAATAAGAAATAATATAACTGCTAGGACTATCCAATAAGCCGAGTAATTTAAACACAGCTACTGAGTTCAGGACTGTATTTCAACAATTGTAAAGTAAATGAATGAATAAATAGGGTAATTTTACAGACGGTGGCTTGATTATTTAATCTGGGGCAGTTATGCCACATGAATACTTGCAAAAAACAAAGCAATTTGTATGTCTGGACTTCCACTGCCTGACTTCTTGGGCAAACCTACTCACCGGGCATCACTCCTTTGATATCACTTTCAACGTTCATCTCGTTCTTGTTAGTGAAGTGAAGAATAAGTTTCTTGGCTGCCTCAAATTGTTGTGTAGCCATCAGCCACCGAAGGGACTCCGGGAAAATACTTCAAGAGATACAAAATGTGTTAGTGGATGCTTCCAAGGATCTATCAATGAGAGGCAACTGCATTTGTCGACTTACACTATTTGAGAATAAAGTAATAACATGGAAATGGTAAAGTACGAATTGCCTGAACATTTGAGAAAAGGATGCTTTTTGTAAACAGTGCAAAAACAAAGGGTAAGATTCCCACTATATAAACTATCCAGGGGTATTTAATATCTCACCCTCCCACCAGGTTTTCTTTTATACAGATGCACATAGAGACCAATTCCTGTTGCATCACGTCTTTTGGGGTCGTATAAAACAAAATAAGGCAGGGTAACAGGGTTGTGCGCATTAGTACAACGTATGAAAGAGTTGGGGAGACTTGTCTACATGGTGAGTTAGTGTGTGGCAAGTCAGGGTGTGAATCTACAGTGCTCCAGTTTCGCATGTGCTAACTCGGTGTGGAGACTGATACAGCGCAGTGAAAGTCCTGGAGCATGGCTGTTGAAGTATCCACATGCTGAGTTAGAGAGCTGCAAGCTGGCGCGCTGTAGATTCACACCCTGGCTTGCCTACCGCACACTAACTGGCCATGTAGGAAAGCCCTAGGAAGCATGGTCAGCAAAAGCCACCAGCTGCCAACCGAGTAAAAGAGTGGGACAGTTTCCAAATGGCAATTCTCACCCAGCGCTCTAGTTAAGGAAGTGACTGCAAGTTTTTTGAAGCTGGAGGGGGAAAATACCCTATTGAACTGGTTTATGATTACAACACAATGTTGATTTTGTTTTAAGGCAGATTGTTTAAAATTATCTGCAAACACTATTTTTTCCCCTAGAAGTCAAAAATGTCCAGCTTCATAAACAGATTTTAAGGTATTTTGACAGAGCAGTGATATGTATATTCCTAGTATGGATAAATATGTAATAAGTAGCTTAACACTATGTTCAATTTTGTTAAGACGAAAGCCCCCTATAGTGAAAATAATATTGCTTTATTTGTGTGATATGCTGCATAAAAATACCCCATATGGGATACTCCTCTGTACAATAATATCAAATATGGAATTAAGTCAAGTAAAATGGAATGCCACTTTGAATATAAACCTCACAGGAAACAGTGCTGAACCATGTAGGGGAACTTCAAACACTTACTTCTGATTTAATAGCGAGAGTGTCAGAGGACACACCATATACGCTTAATACGCCATTATTCCTGAGGGTGGTGGATGAGCAACATGGGAAAACATCCACCTTTGATATGAACTTCAAAGGAGCAATGTGGATCTGAGTTCATAGAAATCTGATTAACATTGTACCTCAAGAAAGAACAGAATATATGAAAAATATCAGTTTTACCTGCATACAGCAGCATGTACTATAAAGGAGGTCAGAGCAGATTATCTATGGGTACTGCCTGGCCTTAAAAATCTAATAATATCTAACCAAGTCTAAAAGTAAGACTTGTGCGAGTTTGGAGAGCTAACAGATTGTCTGATGAAGGGTAGGCTGTTTAAGAGATGCAGGCTTAACACTGATTAGTAGTAGATGTCGTCAGAAATTACTAGTTCACATATGAAAGCTCTGATAAATCAGGAACTAAGAGGCAGCTGGTGTGCATGTCATTAAAAAACAACAACAACAAAAAACCCTTGCTGTCAGCTATGTCCCTGATCCGACCTGCTGCCCCACGACCTATATCCAATAAGGAGCAACTAAGAAGCATTTGATCAGATACATGTGTTTAAGCAATAATCACGAAAGGGCTCATATGCTGCGATACAAAACACAATTTTGTACCATTAACACAACATTTTGGGGTGGTTCTCCTTAAATATATATTTTTCATAGAGTTCTCATTTATTTCCATTAAATGTAGACGTTCACCCTAAATCTCTGTCTTAATTGATTAACCTCTATATTTTCAAATCCATTTATTTTCATACTGAGCCAAACAGGCATGTGTGGAACTTTACAAAACACACAGTTGAAATAGGTCCACAAGATTTGCGGTCTTCTCCCTTGTGTAGGCCTCAATTTCTCTTTCCCTTTGACTCAGTAGGTATATTTAATCCTCTAGGGCATCTGATGACACAGTTTGTGTAACAGATGCATTATAAAATAAAGTTATACTAATCAGAAATTCCACCACAGTGCAGTGACCTTTGTCACCAATGCAGTCTCATGTATGTGAGGGGGCAGGGTGACAAAGGAATGGAGTAAAGGCAGCTGAACCATTGAACAGCCATCTCTTCAGGTTAATACAGTCAAGACATCACCCTTGGCTTGAATGCAATCCTAGATGAAGAAAAAGGCATATTGATTTTATGCATTAAAATAAGGAGAATGAAAAGGAAAACTGACCTGCAATCCAATGTGTCAAAGAACAGTAAGTAAGTATTGCAAATAGGAGAGCCGTTCCCCTTGACAGCTCATTATACTGCATTGATATCATGTGTCTGCCTCAGCAAATTTTCTAGCAGAACATATTGTTGTGGAAATGGCACATTTTGCCAATCGACTCAAAAAAAAAAAATAAAAAGTCACTGAATGCAACACACCATCCAATATTTTGCCCTTGATAGCTGGCAGCAAAAGCTACTCTAATGGTCCTTTGGAACAGTCTGCTTAGTAACTGAACAAAAGTCACCAGAAACCTTTGATAGCAAAGTGCTATTTGTACAGCAACTGCTGGAAAAGGATTGTGTTAATGGTTCTGAAGATGGTTTCCATGGTAGAAATTCCTTACAAGTATCCTAGCATTGTTTTTTGTCCCAATCTTTCCATGCTGCATCATGGATTATTATTTATTTTCAATAATTCTTTCTAATAGTGGCTACAACGGTTTAGGAGCGCTCCATCAGAGAAGAGGGCAGTTTCCTTGCCTTGTGCGGCTCACAGTCCAAAGGACAGACAAGTAAACTATTCCCACTCACCCTACCCATCAATCATGTATGTTTTCTGAATAATGTAACTGAAAAGGAAGGCTGAGTGTCAACTCACCCACATGTGGGGTCTGATCCTGCAAACACTTAGTTTAACTTTACATATGTGAGTAGTTCCACTGACTTCAAGAAAAGGAGGGGTGAAAGTTTCAGATTCACTCTGGCTCCTGCTCACCCTCCACAACGTAGCCCTCACGCACATGTGGAAGGGGAGAGCCCCAGTGTTAAGGAGATCATTGGGGTGGTGAATAAACAAGATGTTAGTAAAGAGGGAGTTAGAAACAGAAGGGAGGGAGAGGATGAAAGAAGGTAGAAAGGAAGAGTATAGTGGCAATTGGGGAGAGAATAGTTAGGACAGAGGGGAAAAACCTAAAAATAACGGTCAAGGTCAGACGGTTTAAAAAGCGATACCCATTTTGTGTACACAGTGCAGGCAATTATGTATGAAAATGGGGTGACTGTACTAGAAAGTGGCTAGCTGGCTGCCCAGCCAAATCACCGTATTTGGGCATACAGTCATGCAACACCCTGCAGAGCTGGGCTAGGGGCTGTTGCCACCATTTTACTGAGCAGCTGGTCACCATCCTTCTCCTGGAGCCAAACCACACTGTGCTCCATTCTGCTTAAACCAAAGAGGGGTGGAGGCAAGAAGAGCAGGGAGCACTCACCAGCTGGCCTACAGCCTTCTGGGCAGAACAGCCCCTGTTGTCAGAGGGCAGGCAGTGTTTCTCAGCAGCTGCCACAGCAAAATAGGCCTGGGCACTGAAAGATGAATAAGCCCTGAGGCAGTCGTAGCCATAGTGAGACAGCTGGCATCTATATTTGGCAAGCACAGGAAAATCTTCAGGGCTGAGGTTTTAAAATCACACACAGACACACACACACACACACACACCCCCCTCTTCAGAGACACTCACTTCCTCAATATCTGTGTAAGTATCTTCTCACCTACTGTACACAGGTGATATTTTCCTATATGAGGTTCCAACCCAATAAGTAATAGCATGTAGGCGAACTGCTGCATGGAGCCTCCGTGTGAACAGTCTGCCTGTGCACTAACAATTGCAGGATTGGGGTCTAACACATCTAACCTTAACTGAACACTTCCTTTTGGAGTAAGATGATTCAGAAAAAAATATTTCAAAGACTGGACAGGCTACAGCTTCCAACCTGTGCAGCCTGTCAGGGACATAAACTGGAAAAAGAAGAGTGGAGAGGAGAGGGTAAAGGATTTCCAGTCCGCCAAGATCTTTGTTTTGGTCATTCAGGAACAAATGGGGGAAAAAAAAGTCTCATTCCCCTATAGCTTCTGTACGATTCCAGCACTGGACATGCTCAAGCCCAAAGGCGAAAGACTTCCAGTTGCTCTAATTGCTCAGTCTGATGAGCAACAGCAGGAAATGGAAGACACCAAAAATTCTGACATAAAAATCAGGGATTAAATGCATCTTGAGGTCCTCAAATAAACTTCCCTAATTGCTCTGTCTCAACTCCAGGCGATTAAACAACATATTAAGTTAAAATTCTCTTTTAAATATTTAATGCATTTTACTTTTCTTTTACCTGTTTCGATTTTGGTTGTGTGAACTCACATAGGGACTAGTCAGACTTGTGGCGTGTACATACACACACACACACACACACACACACACACACACACACACACACAGAGGTGGGATTTTTGCAGCTCTGACTTCCAAACTTTAGGCAGCATGATGGGAAACTTGAAAGCAAAAAAGGCAAACAAATGAAAAAAAGCAAGCAAACAAAACAGAGAAGTTAGCCCCCAAGCCTGATTTCACGTCTCTAGTTCACTACAATTGTATCTCCTTGCATTGGCTTAAATTAGGATAATAAAGGAATGTTTATAAGCAGCTGCTCTGCCAACATCTTTTCACAACACAAACAAAATAGGAAATGTTTCCATTTTCTTTCAATTGCCGGATCAACCTTTTGTGGGCCGGGCGCCAAATATATTTGTGGGCCCCCATGTGGTTGTGATGGACCCCTTCCAAGTGTAGGCCCGGCGTGACAGTGCCACTGATGCCATAGTAAATGTGGTATTGCCGGGATGG